AAAACAATTCACACTTAGATGTCTATATAAAAAACGTTATTTTTCGCGAAATTTTGTGACTTTGCTGAAGCGTTGATTTGTGGCGCGTTTTGGCATTTTTTTTTTCTGCTTGTGCACTGGTCATAACAAAGCGGTGGCCATAAATATCTACGTTAGTGTTTAGTTGCTTTTTTTTTTTATAAATCAGGCAAATATTCATTTACGGAAATAAGATGTGTCTAACTAACGCCTACGCCTGTCAATATACCACAGAACATTAATCTCTCAATTTCCATCCAATTGTTGTAGTCATTCAAGCGCTAGTTAAGTTTGCGAGCAGTTTTGCAGTATATGTATTTACTTCGGAAAGCTTTGCCCACAACACCCACTATTGAGCAACGCGCCACTTAGCGTGTCACCCACATATATACATACATACATACAACTGTTCTAATTTCGCGAATACTGCATCTGCATATACTAAGCCCCATGATAATTTTTAAGTGCAACATTAACATCAACTTGTGCGCTTTGTAATGCGACTGTACTTGCATTTGTCTATACATACATAAATACATACATACATACATGCATGCAAAAGCATCGAGTCCTAAATCTTTGACGAGCTTGAGGTTGCAGCCAGCGCTGCATTTATCGCCTCCTTGGCAATTCGATACTGTTGAAATTTATTTTCGGTTTGCGTAAATTTATCTGCAGCGTTCTACTTCACAAAGGTACAAAGTACAATCCTCGCTTGCCTGCGAGCACTCATGCTTGCAACATCTACTCCACACGGATCATACAGTACTCGAAAATCAACCATAATGAATATAAAGTATGTATGTATGTATGTGCTCTTAAGGGGTTACATGGGTTTGGTCGAACAAAAAGCGTTTTTTTTCAATAATTTTTTTTTTTATATAAATAATATTTTCTTCAAACTTTTTATTGTTCCGAAGATACATATTTGATAAAGATTTTGTGAAATTTTCAAAGAAGCGAAAGAAAGAAATTTTTGAAACCTCATTTCCGGCAGTCCCTAGGAAAAAAAGTGCCCCCGCGTTGACAGCAGAATTTCTGACAGAATCATCAAATGTAAAAAGAAACGAATACCTGTTTGAATTAAGACCGTTAACTAGATATTAGGACGAAGGAGAAACAAAAATAATGCAAATTTTGGTGAAAATTTTCTCGTCGATTTTTGTTTTTAAATAGTTGTAATTGAACAAAAAAAAATTGTAAATTTAACTGTCTAAAATTTCATTAAGATAGGTTCAGTAGTTCGCAACCGACTTTAAGAACACAGTTTCGAGAAAAATACGTTTAAAGTTTTAAGTGATTATATAGCTGATCTCGAGCGCGCAACTTTTCAAAACTGTATCTCCAAAACTATTGCCGGAATCAACTTGAGAATTAAGGACAATGCTCTAGAGATTTTATAGAATTAAATAAGACAGTAAACAAACAATTTTTTTTTTGAAGCCGTGGAACCCTTTAATATATTGTCATGTTTAGGTCAGTACTAAATACTGCATCCAGTGTGTGCCTCCAGTGTTTTTCTCTAGAACTTCCGCTACTCCACTCCTACAACTGTATTTTATTAAACAATTTGTTTAATAATACGTCATAAAATATTATAATACTGTTGTGGTATTTAATTGGTTTACGTAAATTACATTACTTAAACGTATTTCAAAGGTACTGAGAACAATTTGCCTTATTCATGGGTGGTAAATTGCTATTCCACGAATTAACAGATTTGTATTTATATATACAACAACATTTGTATTAAGTTATGAACGTACATATACAGGGTGCACCAACTTTTATATTAGCATTTAAACATTGCATAATTTTAGAAAAAGAAAGCGAAAAGAAAATCCTTTCGATATCGATGGATTTTAGGTCGGAACCTCGCACCACTGACAATTTGCGCCAGATTATGGCTTCTGTTTGCTGTGGCAGTTATGTCACTTGATCGATGTAAGTGAAGAAATTAAATAAAATTTCAAATACCGTTATAAAAGAGCAGCGTAAACGGTACAAATCCGGGTTTTCATCCGGCCAGCTAGCATTCCTCCAAAATATTCGGGCAATGTTTGCTGCCGCTCCACAACAACAACACGACGCACCCTGTTCATATTTATTGTCAATTCGCTTTCATTTACTCAAGCGATTCGCTTGTTTGTTTTTCGTAAGCGCTACTCCTTTTTCATGTTTTCCACAACTCTTTGGCTCTCTTAATTGGTCACATTTCCGCGAGGCACTCTTTACCGTTGCGACTTACCTGCCTTGCACTCTGCGTCGCCAATCGATTGAGCGATCTCACACTATTTAGGCTTTCCTATCAGTGCAGCTATTTGTTTACTTATGATGGGGTCTTTTAATACAAACATATACACACACCTATTTTCATGGCTGTTGTTGATATTGTTGCCTGCCTTTATTATTCGTGTTATTGCGGTTGTTGTGCTTGTTTGTTTTTCTGTGTGTATGTTTTGTTTTTTTTTTCTATTTTTTTTTTATTCTGCTGTTACCACCGCTCTTTAGCGCTGGTATTGTTACTTATGGTGTTGCGCTACACTCTGGCTAAGGTTTGTAGCTGCATTTGCTGTAATTGCTGTTATTTTTCTTGGGGCTAATATCTACATGCATATGTATGTATTATGTTAGTTGTTGGTGTTATTGTTTGTTCTGTCGTATAGTGCATTTGGTGCTCCCGTTTAAAGAGCTGAGTAGACGCACGGTAAAATTATCTATTGAAAGAAAGAAAAACGGTGCCATAAAATAGCGAATATACAGCTGAGCGTTATAATAGCGCCATGCGAGCAATCAGTGCCGTCGAGTGGTGGCAGTGCGCGCCTAATCGACGCTGTTGCAGCATATTGTGCAGCATTTGTTGATTTGTAATTCAAGTGACAAGACGTCACTCAGCTTGGCAGGCAGACAAGCTAACAGGAAAGCAAACCAAAAGTCGCTAAGTCAAGTCAATCTGTCAGTTGGCGTTAGTCGAGGAAATAGTGGTGCGTTCGTTCGCTTCGTCGCGATCATTCGTCGGAGTATTGTTGACATTTTCTTTACGCTTTCGTTACTGTGCGCAATTTATCTGCCTTACAAGCAGCTACGATTGCTTAAAAGTGTACCGCGCGTTATTGCTGTGACTTTTTCGTGAAGTGCAAAAACAAAAAAATACAAAAAAAAAAACAATACAAATATAATAAAAGTTAGCTAAGCCAACACGCTGATCCTTCTATAAGTGCACCATCAGTTTATAACTCGTTCTCACTTTTTGTCTAATTTGAAGCATTTCGATTCGCACATCAACAACTGGTCGCGGTTACAATCATGTGTACGTCATTTACATTTGCCATATTTATTGTTAATATCTTTCGATTTCCTTCGGGTTTCCGTTTGCGCGCTCGTGCCAGCATGACTGTAATTTACATAAGTATAAACCTGAGCGAAATGTCAATAGTAAAACTGTACTTACTTAGTGCTGAGTTTGTGTCTAGTACTAATGATTGCCTATAGATTTAGAATCACTAGCGCCCTTAGAAATATATAATTACCTTACGTTGTTAGATCTAAGCAATGAAACCTTTGATTTAATAGAACACTTATAATAATTGTGAACACGTTTGTAAATATCAGTATCCACGCTAGTCAGATTAGGACGTGTATATAGCGTTGACTTGTGACACTTGGCTTCAAGCTTCTTTCAGGGCTTGTAGTATAGACAAATATTTAGTGTAATATTGGTAATGTTTGGAGTGCACGTTCCGTTCCTCCTCAAGTCTTCGGTTGTTTGCGGTTTATGCATTTGTTTTGCCAGTGTTATTTGTATTGGCCGTTGAGCGGAAGTACCTTAAGTTTTATACACTTATTGCCGCATTTATGATTGATTAATAATGCGCATGCGTGCGTGAATTATAAATAGCGCACGTGCATCGCAGTCCCTGCATCATGTACAAATCTACATACATATGTATGTATGTTTACATATTTGTTAAAAATCAATACAAGGTGTGTTTGCGTGAGATTGGAAGCACTCGTATATCAGTCGTGATTTACTGATATCTATGCATGCATACCATATGTGAAAATTTATTTATATTAGCTTGTGACGCTATGTTCAGCTTGTGGTTTCCTTTTTTCATGCATATCCATCTGCACTTTGCATATGTATGTAGGTTCATAAATATATGGACAAATAACGCGCACAAATTTTCATCAAGGATTTAATTTCAATTCAGATTTAATGTACAGACATATCTATGTACATATATAGTACTATTTTGAAAGACCCAAGCTAAAAAAAAGTATTTTTATACAAAGTATATCCAAGAAATATGAATAATAGAAAAACGGAAAAATATATTTTTACATTAAATGTCGTTTGCACGTATGAAATTAAAAGCAATAAGTAACAAAAGTTGAGAGGCCGTCACTATAAAGTTGGAGAAAGCTTAAAATGTCATCAAATTGACTTCAGCCTCTGTTTTAATTCCAATTGCAACTATCTTATTTAATACCTAATTCTCAGTCTGCAGTTTGAAGGATGCCCATATAGATTTAACCGTATGTTTTCTCTCCCTCAGTTTTGCTATATTTTTGTTGAAAGGAACATCAGCTGTTCGTTTGCATTACCTACATTTGCAACGGATTTTGAGTGTTCCGAAACGTGTTAGATCGTGTTTGTGTGGAATCATTGGTGTAGGCCAGTAGCTGATGGGAAACAGCAGGCGGCCACCTTGTGTATGGTATCAATTGCATAGCTGTAATAAATATAAATTATAGCTACTTAGGAATTTACAATTAATTCGTCGTGAAATGAGTAATTCTAACCAGATTGTAAATTGCAGTCCAGTAGCCGTAGCGCGTGTTAATCAAAATTGCGACTGCTGTGTTTCACCAAGCTACTGTATAAATACTTGCTACTGATCGTGCAATGCGTATGCGTATGCAACTCAAACATGCCTTCATACATACAATAGTATATATTAATGCGCACAGTCATACAAACAAGTTGGCATAAATATACTGCCATGGATCCACGATATCTTGCCGCAAGTCAATGCTTTACCGAATTGCATTTGCCAACAGCAAATTCAACGCCAACCAATTTGCTGGCGAATTTGACATCCACATCCCCGCTTTGGCTCAGTGGCGATTAAATTAATTTCTTGATTTATACGCCGCGCTTAATTGGTTTTGAAAATGGATTTTTGCCTCGAGGCAGCAACAAGCGTGGTCACTAAGTTGTGGCACTCCAAGTCATGTCACTGAATGTCACAGATTCTAAACAAATCGGGATAAACTAAATTGTGCGCACATTTTAGAATGTACCGTTGCAGGTCTACATTTTTGGCGAATTTGCTTGCGTTTTGTCAACATTGTAGCACCGTCCTTGTTTGCATAACACTTGCCACGTTTTCTGAGTTCTATATTTGGAAATGCAATTTAGTGTATGTAATTGTGGGTAAGCATTTGTAAGTACGTACATCCGATCGTTTTATTGACAAGCTTGACAATTGTCCACAAGTTGGTTGTGTGCTTGTCAATTATTTCAATTAATTGGTTTTGCATATGACACGAGGAAATCTACTCATTTGGCGCGCAAGCGAAAAAAATCAAAACGAATATTAGTTAAACCACATACTAATATACATACGAATAACATACATACACACATACATATATATGTATATTCATCAAAATAGTAGTTATAAGCAAATATTTGCTGCAAAGCTATTGTCGTTTTTTACAGTTACCACAGTCAATTGAATTTTTCATCTGCATCACTGCAGGCGGCAATTTCACCGCTGCAACCAGTTGACATTGAAATGTCATAATTAAAATGAATTGTTACGTTGATAAGTGAATTGTTGCTGTATTTACTGTCATCTATTAACAACAATACAACCAGCTAGATCTGATTTCATTGCACTTTGCATACGAAATTCTTATAGGAGTAGTTTGTGTGTTGTGTGTTGGCGATATTTTACTGGTGCGCCAACCAAGAAAAATACTGAAAGCATAAGAGTGTATGTCCAACATTCGCTATACTTATCGTTGCTTAAAACTACTTAAACAGGTATCATAATATTCCACTATACCTCAGGCAGTTCATTTCATGATTATGGCACCTAATTTGGAATCCAGACCAGCTTCATTGTCTGCACTACCTATTTTTATATATTATATGTATTATGTTTATAGCCGCAGAGATTTTTATTTTGCATGTATCGTTGCTAAGTAGTCTCTAGTAGCTTACCAAATAGCCATCGCATTTTTTAAACTGAAAATTTCAACACTTTTCTATACAATACTGTTAACACTAAACATATTAACAATATTACATTAATATATACACCCAATCACATACATACATATGTATGCATAATACTACATAATAAATATTTGATTAATATTCAAAGCGTCGCTGTAGCCTTAAGTTAATTGCCGTTAAAGAATTATTAACTAATTTGTCCTAAACAAATAATTTGCTGCATAAATAAATACGCAAAAATAATCAGTTGCCAAGTGTACAGCAAGTTTTAGTTATACTTGTATGTATGTAGCTGTAAGCCTTATGCAGCTTGTATCGCTTTAAACTCCATTTTTTATTTAACTTATTACGCGTTGCCTGCTTTGGAACGTGTGCGCAACGGCACAAAGTTGTGTGCGCTAGAGCCACCCACCGATCGTATTCAACACACAAACAAATAAAAGTGCAACGGATGTGTGTTCGGCAACCGTTTGGCCGTACGCCAAGATAGCCATTGATTATAGCGCTTTAAGTAGCGGGTGTATATAAGTATGTACTTGTGCCAATCAGTGAACCTACTTTTGTTACGGCATTTGCTTAATTGTTCGTTATAAGCATTTGGCTATCGGTTACTATGCTTTTGGGCAGCCGCTCAGTATTACTTATATGTTTCTAATTGGCTTAGCCGAACACTCACAAGTATTAGCTCCACCTACATATTACTCGTAACTGAACATTTTGTAATCCCGTTCCAACACATTTGTTAACAATCCCATCAGTTAGTTGCCAATGATAAAGTGCTTAGGGAGTTTTTTTGTTTTTAATTATTCGTTTTGTTTACAAATTTCTATTTTTTTTTTTAATTTATATACATTTCCAGATTACCATCCCGTAAACAGTTATCCCGGCTATCCGATGAATCCGACTAACGGCATGGATACAGAAGATGTCGAGTCCACTTCAAGCAGCGCCATGTCCAGACTTGGCACACTCTTCTCATTCACATCGCCGGCAGTTAAGAAACTGTTGGGCTGGAAACAAGGCGACGAAGAAGAGAAATGGGCCGAAAAGGCGGTGGACAGTTTGGTGAAAAAGTTGAAGAAACGTAAGGGTGCTATTGAGGAGCTCGAACGCGCTTTATCCTGCCCTGGCCAGCCTTCGAAATGTGTTACAATCCCACGTTCTTTAGATGGACGCTTACAGGTGTGTTTGAGCTTTTATTTCTACGCTGTATTACGTTTTTGACTCTTTGACGCGAATATATATAAAATAAATAATTTCCTTCTATAGGTATCTCATCGGAAAGGACTTCCACATGTTATTTATTGTCGCGTTTGGCGGTGGCCAGATTTGCAATCACACCACGAACTAAAACCACTTGAGATTTGCCAGTACCCATTTAGCGCCAAGCAAAAGGAAGTTTGCATCAATCCTTATCACTATAAACGAGTTGAAAGTCCTGTACTGCCGCCGGTGTTGGTGCCACGCCATTCAGAGTTTGCCCCCGGTTTCTCAATGCTACATTTAAATCAGTCAATGTCTGAACCTCCAATTCCACCCAATATGAATTACTCTAATAATGGCTTTAACAATATGAGCCCTAACAGTCCGCCTCTAACATCAGCCGGTAGCCCTAGTACGGTAAACTCCAATCCTAACTCACCATACGGTAGTTTGGCAGGTACACCACCGCCGGCATACAGCCCCTCGGAGGACGGCAATTCGAACAATCCTAATGATGGCACACAACTGATCGATACACAGATGGGCGACGTGGCCCAGGTGAGCTACTCAGAGCCAGCATTTTGGGCTTCAATTGCTTATTATGAGCTCAATTGTCGTGTGGGTGAAGTATTCCACTGCAATAATAATTCAGTCATCGTCGACGGTTTCACAAATCCATCGAATAATTCAGATCGCTGCTGTCTAGGACAGTTAAGTAATGTAAATCGTAACAGTACCATAGAAAATACACGCCGTCACATAGGTATGTGTCATGAAAAAATACATAAATGATTTTTACTAATCTCTTTTATTGCATAATAGGAAAAGGCGTTCACCTCTATTACGTTGCTGGAGAAGTATATGCCGAATGTCTATCCGACTCGGCAATATTTGTGCAATCTCGAAACTGCAATTACCACCATGGCTTCCATCCGAGTACCGTGTGCAAGATACCACCTGGCTGTTCTTTGAAAATTTTCAACAATCAGGAGTTTGCTCAACTTTTATCGCAATCCGTTAACAACGGTTTTGAAGCAGTTTATGAATTGACAAAGATGTGCACAATCCGAATGAGTTTCGTAAAAGGATGGGGAGCCGAATATCACAGACAAGATGTAACATCCACTCCTTGTTGGATAGAGATACATCTGCATGGACCATTGCAATGGCTTGATAAAGTATTGACACAAATGGGCTCGCCACACAACGCCATCAGTTCCGTATCATAAGAGCAAATGGATATGTTGTCGTTTCTTAGTTTTCTATTATCACTACTTAGTTTTTTTTTTTTTTTTTTAATTTGCTTATGATTGATCTGCGCTGATTTTATCATTTCGTTTGTACTACTTGTTTACACATTTTATTTAAACGGCTTATATTGCCGTTTCACTATTACGGTATAAAGGAGAACTTAAGATAAATATAACGAAATAATTGGCATCAACATAGTTTAGATATTAATGTTTTATTACTTTGATTTTTAAGTATCGTATATATATACCCAAAAGTACATTTATACTATTTTTTTATAATATTACAAGAACAACTAATTTAGATAATTTTCCAAAAATATTTTGTTTGCAAATTGCGACAAGCAGGATATATAATTTTTTGTGTAATAATAAAGTTTTATTATTTTAATTTTCATTCGTATTTGTCGTTTTATTTAAATTTACATTTATGATTTCAGAAGCAATTGATAGTTTCCATGAAATGTAAGTAAATTTATATAAGATGTAATAGTAAATTAATTGTGGAACCAGTAGAAAATATAATATGAGTACATATGTAGGATTTAATTTAGTAATAGTAAATTAGTTAAACTTCAAATTATCTCAACGCTTATGTGCATGCTTACGCGTATATATTCATACACAACACAACTACAAAATGTGCTACATACATACTTAAGTGCTTTTGAAACATGCCTTATCCAAATGCAAATTATTGAACAGCTTATATAATACATATGTAAATAAGAGATCTTGGCCAATAAGTGTAAACATTTTAAATTGTATTACTATATAGTTTTAAAAATAAGCACTGAACCGATCAAGTAGCAAAAAAGCTACGAAATGCATTAAAGTTCATTAAAATTTGCTACAAAGAAATAAATGCCTTCACATATACAATGTATTTACAAAGATATTTTAAATTTGCTATGTATTTTAGGCTATTTGAGCTCACTTGCTTTGCGTTTTGCTACCTATATGTTGTTATATGATAAATAAATATAATGTATTGTAATTTCCATTGTAGTAATCAAATATGTGCAAAATAATTATAATAATATTTCAAATAAAGTTTGGTGAATTTCCTGACTACAATAAAAGATATATGTATATCTTTTCGGCAATTGTTTTTTAAAATAAATTTTTATATAAATAAGGAGCTATTAAAGCTAAAATTGATGATCTCAGATAATATTTTCAAATAGTACTTGTACACCGCCAAATTCCTCAATGGGTACTGGAACAAACTCCTAAGCAATTTAAATTTATAGTGGCAACTTCAACAGCTGTTTGTCACTTTGACGTCTCTCTGACAACTGCTGTGGCTTGTATATTTTACCGTGCTTCGACCGGAGAATTACATACAATATTTGTGAACATCAAAATATGTCGAACGTGATTGATCCTATAAAACTCCTGACGGATAAAGGTGAACGTCAACCAGCGTTCTTGAACGATATCTTTAATCCATTAGTGTGTTCGATACTTGGATTTGGTTGTGCAGCCTTTTTGAATTTCGGTTTGAGAAAGCCAGTATTCTCGGGTATGTTTTATGTGACGTAACTTTATGGTTCATCAATATATTTAAGTAAATTTGCTAAATGCTATTTTCATTTTTTAGGTATTCAGAATCATGTAGCCTTCTCAGCTATAGGTGGCGGTTTGGGCCTGTACTTTGACAAGAAGAGGAACGAGCATCTTGCCAAACGCGATGCTGTACTGAGGCATTACATTGAATTGCACCCTGATGATTTTCCAACAAAGGGTAATGAAGCAAAAATGAAATAATTTTAAATAAAAGCTCAAGACGTATTTTAAATTTTAGAGCGCAAGAAGTACGCTGACGTTTTGGAAGCATGGGTACCTATCAGATAAATATGCCGGATAATGCGGGTAATCCTATAATCGATGAAATCAAATCGAAAATGCTTTATTCTGCTTGGAATATAATTGGCATAGAACAACGTTAGTTATTAATTCGACTATAGCAGACGCAAAATAAATAAAAAACTGGGTTTAATACCAATAAACAGTTAATATTTATTTTATAGACTGAGAATTATAGAAAACTTATTGAATTGAAATCCATTGATTTTCCCTTAGCAGGAGATGCAAGTAAGTATAATTCTTCAAAACATATACAGATATTTTTTTATGTTTTTCTGATAAGTTGCATTAAATAAAATTAATACACTTTAGATACATATGGTAAATATGTATGTGAGCTTAAATATTGATCAATTAAAGCTTTTTATAAGCAAAGAGAGCAAGAGGCAAATAGTCTAACCAGATCAGATTGGGAAACCCTGGAAAGCGAAGCATTTTATTAAATATGCTCTATTATGTAGGCCGAATAGTTGTCACTGACTACCTTTTTTCCGGAATTCAATGCGCATGTCCAGCAATAAACCGTTATATGAGTTCACCAACTAATGATTTGTTGTTGTGGGGATGTTTTAATGTTCCAACGGCCACCACAAAGCAGACAGAGACAATAGGTGTTACTGTAAGAATCGCGAGTAGTCAGTTGAGTTTTAGATGTTGAACGGTGAATATCAAAAGAACGGAAATTGTTTCTAAGTTGCAAAAAAAAGAAACATCAATAAAACAGAAATAAGTACCAACAAAAAATAATAAGTGAAGAAATAAAATAACAAAAAAGTGCTCGGAATGATACTGGCGGTATAGTTTTGTGCTGTAACACTTAAATAAATAAAGACCCTTGCAATAACATACATTAAAAATATTATTTAATAAGTATTCTGCTTTAATTTGAATTCAATATAAAATATTGATAAATTTCAAAATTTAGCTTAGTAAAATAAAGAACAGTTATACAAATTGTAATACCAAAATAAACGCCATAATTTAAGAGTTGAAAGAACCAACACGAAAAAAGTGATCATTTTTGGGGACTGTATGCCGATTCACCACCCCTTTCTCCGTGCTTTTCAACTTCCACAGATTTTGCCTGCGTGAACCGGATATTCACGCAAAAGCAAGTCGATAATTAAACATATACCCCCAACAGTGCAGAAACGGACTCACAAGACTTTAAATTGGCTGGTCAGTAATCTAAAAAGCCTTGTGTCCTCTTAATTTGACCGACGCACGTCGCCAATGTAGTGCAAGCGTGCGAAATATTACTTTAGTGGCGTCATATTTTAGTTAACTTCAATCGTCAATGTTCCAGCTTCAGAGTTGAGAGCAGTAAGCTGGGCATTCTTTGGACTATTAGCAAGACTCAATTATTCGCATTTAGCTGTGAATATGGCCAAGGTAGGTTACAACAAATTAGTCACTTACACTTAAAATTATTTTATTGTTATTATTATTAATTTTAAAAGTTACGTTATTCAAGGTTTCCAATATAAATATTAATGTATTATAAAATGACTGACGACTCAAAAGTAAATGTTTTTATTTAAATAAAAAAAAATTATTAAAGTAGAACACTTACATAAATTAAAAGTATTTAAGCAGTGTTTTATCGCATGATATAAAAAACATATGCTTATACATGCATATACACTGATGTCTGTATTTTTCAACACATTTAATGTCTATACATATTTAGGTAAATATTAATTATATTTTTACTTTTATATGTGTCTATACTCGTATGAATGTATTTTATGTATGTATGTACATCTAAACACTTTCAGTTTGATTTATTGATTGCCTTATAAATATAATATTAATAGCGAATTAGCTTCCACCTCCGGTTATTACTTTTAAATTATATTTAGATATACCGACGAGTAATGTACGCCTATCTGAGCGATTCCCTCCCACCTCTTTGACATCTTGTACAAGGACAGCTGTCTTTTTTTATTACGCATGTATTTAGGACTTAATCAGCAAGCAAACTGATAAATGATGTAATGTGGGCGAAAAGGTTGGTTGAAATAAAAATTAACCCCTTTCCAAAATTCAACAAGTTCTTTTTAATCGGCAAATATGCTAATAAAGAAAAATGTCGATAAACTTCAAAGAAGTTACAAAAAGTGCGGTAGGACTTAATGTTTCTTTTATAAAAATCTAAAAAGCAGAAAATACAGTTATTCATTAAGAAAAGGATACAAAATTGTCACCAGCAAAGCCTTTTTGATCGCTCGGCTTGGCTTGCGAACCGTTTTCCTTTTGAGTGCTGCCAAGAATGTTTTTGTTTTTTATTTTGTTTTGCATATTTTTATATATATTCGTAGCTAAACACTTGTACATACATAAACACACAATTAGCAATACATATAGCTTATACTAATAATATCAATAATTAGATGAAATACATATTATTTAACTAATACAGAAATATGAAAAATTTCGTTTGGCTTCAACAAGGAGCCATACCTTTCCTCGTGCATAGACATATTTATGTATATATAATATTTATAAAGCGAAAAAAAGTCGTTAATGTAACCGGCACAGTGTCCTACACTTTGCTGACTACTTTGGTGACTTTATGTCTGCAATGCACGTATCCAATGCAGAGTGCAAACAAGAAAACTCAAAAATAAATAAATTGAAAAACAAACAAATTGCTGAGTATATAGATATATTATATTATATATGTATGTATGTACATAAATCGATATAAAAAAACTTTTCACTCTTGGCAAAAGTGACCTGAGCTAAGACATATTACAGTGTAGCATGTCGTCTTCAAAATATATGTATACACTTGCGCTATTTTAATGTGTTGCTGGAGTTTCTTTTTTGGCATTTCTTTATTTTCGTTTTTCCAATTGGAAAGTATTCATGACTTACGAATTATTTTTATTATATTATTTTGTTTAGTACTACTTTCCTATGCTTAAATTCCAAACAAGCTGTTTTCTTCACTTGACCACATCTTTGAGCAGAGAGTTAATATGCTATGAACCTGCTTTACATGTGCGTAATAAACTGTTTCGGATAAGAATTAAAGCTTCTATCTTTCAATATCTTTCAATGCACCTCATAAGAAAAAATTGGCTCTTGGGTCACTCATACGCATAGATTCCCTTAACGTGATTGACTGCCTACTCGCAGCATATATATGTACACATGTATGTATGTGTGCATAAATGTAGCATGTTAAGTGAGCAGATACACATACATTGTTGTCCTTCATTGTAGAGGTGGCCTTCCGTTTCCGTTGTCTTTGTGCAGAGTAGAACCGTAAGCGATTCTCGCTTCTATTCTTTGGTGTACTCGTAATGCGTTGTCCTACATTCAATTTTCTGATGTAGTGTAGGCAAATATACATACATACGTTTGTTAAATAAACTTGTGGAGACGCAGTGTTGCATTTGTATGCCCATTTTGCTGAACACTTGCAACATAACGTTTTGTAGGCACTTTTTTCAAGCTATGAAATTGATGAAATATTATTTTTTTATACTTGTATATGTACATATGTATTTATATATTTCTATTGCCGACAATCCGTTTATTCTTTTGATTGTTTAACATTGCTCTCTTATCACCCATTTCCGTTTCATTCTGGCAATCACTTTGGATTATAAATGTTGCCCTAATAATGAATGAAGTATATATTTATTTTTAGTGCTGCGTTATTAAGATTGTATATGCACAAAATTAAGCAGATCCAACCACGAATCACGGGCAACATGCAACATATTTGCTCTAGATACAGCGAGTAAACGCACATGGATATACATACCTATATCTATTCAAGTGTATACTTCATTTACACATTTTCTGCCATGGGTCGAACTCTGCATTAAATGATGAGTCAATCTGTGGCAATTGCAACAATAACAAATTAGCGGTGATTGCTTGCTTTGGTTAATATTTAAATGAAATAAAATCATTAAACAAACGAACATTTATATTTTCAACTTGTCTTTACGTTAGCAAATGCAATTTTAATAAAAAACCTAGGGGCAAAAATCTCTGATATTTTCAATTAGAGATTATTAGAAAACTCGTCATAAAATCCTGCGATGTTGTGATCGGCTTTTGCGATGCTTTTCCATGTGAAAAAGCCAACAAGAAAATCCTGCAAATTGCCAACATTCATGAGCCATAAAAATCGATGTCAAAAGGCAACTTAAACAAGTTCGAAAAATAGTCGAAAAATGCTGCTGCCATTATATCTATGCAAAAATTTAATTCTGTGTGAATATGTGCATATTTTGTCGCTGTGTAGACTCGACTGCATGCACGAAAAACTGCTTGTAGTGGCTTGGGTAGTAAGCGACGGTGGTGCTGCTGGGCGGGCTAACTAACCAAGTATACTTACATAACAATAGCTGCTGAATGCTTGGTCAAATTGAATTACATTGCACGAATAAGAGCTACAAGTACCTGCCTACAAGTTGTTAGCATACAAAGTGTACCTTTTGTATCCAATAAAGGTGGAGCGAAAGATTTGGGCAGCTGGAATAGGCGAAGTGCACACAAGTGCACAGACAACGCATAGCGGCATTGAGAATCAAGAGACACGTTTGCGTTACTAGTTTTTTGTTCGATTTTTTTATCTGCGGCGTTCCGCCGGAAACTGTCATTGAAGCCTTTGTGTTGCCATTGTATTCGAATTTCAGCGGTCAGTACGAGTAGGTAACTAGGACCATACATATTATCAAAGGCGCTGTTGTTACTCCGGTGGATAAGTCAGCATAAAAAATCAATATCTAGCACTTTGGAACTCTGTTTACATTTAACGAAATTTCGACTCATTTTGTAATTAAAAAGAAATTAGAATGTCGGCGACTGCCAGCTTTTTGAGTCAGAGTCGAGGGCATTGCACGCTTGAACAGCTTTTAACACTCACCACTACACACACACATACTTGTATGTCGGTTGTGTTGGCTAGAATCAAGTGTCACATTACAGCAAGCGAACTCTGCAATGCAACCCTTAGTGGAAGTGAAATTAACTTGCTGGGAAAAGTAGTCGAATGTACAATACAGCAAATGTGAGTCTAACAAAAGTACTTACTAACCCAATTTTTGTGTTGCACGCGATTTGAAAGCAAACAATAGTATCAGACACACATACCGTACGTTTAATATTGTTCCGCTATGTGTGCTATGCTCATAACTTGACTGTGCGAGTACACTGCAAAAGAAAACAATAC